GAAATTATTTAACATCCTACTTGAAGACGGATAGTTTTAAGACTTGCTCTTAAGTTGATTAGGATAATTTGTTTTTGGAATAGTACAATTTGTTTATGTTTATAGATGATTTCTTCCATATCTAGTACGGAGGTGGAAGGTCGGTAAGGCTGATCTTATGGTCCAAGAAAATGTATAAAAATGTATAGCTTTTAGATTCAAAAATTGAAGGAATAGGACTTAAGATCATAATCCTAGATTCTCTAGGACACATAAAGGAACCATTCGATCTCATATGGCAGTATATGGGAACAAAAAAATAGAGAGCAAGGTGGAACGTAACCCTTTCATTGTGTTTCTGGACCAAAAGACATGTTCGTTTCAATCCAGATATCATAAACTTCTACAGTTCCTGCCAAAGTAGAGAAGCAACACAAAAACAGCCAAGGGCCACTCCTCAGCTTGATATTAATTGCTAGTAGCCTTGGATCCTACTAGGGTAGCAACAAGGCGCACACGCAAATATTTGGCAGTCTCCCCACGAAAATAGAAACACGAGAAGAGTTACAGTTTAAGAAAATTAGCCCAAGAATGTTGAAAACGCCAAAAGAGAGTTTAACTGTTCCATGTGTTGACACTTCATTGCTACGGACCTTCTGTGGAGCCCTATCATTGATGACGAGATACCCAGGAATGTGGAAGCATATGCACTGAAAACATGCGTGGTTGAGATGTATTGAAAGTGATATTCGGTGATGTTTCAATGCAAATATGTGCAACAAATGTCATGGATCATTGTGCTGGATGGATCTACCTACATTGACATTTAGAAATTCAGAGAAATTCCGACTGGTTACCTGTCTCGATCATTCACAGAAACAAACAAGAGATTACTATTTCATCAGCGTATTGCTACTGCACACGGAAAGCCATGTGCATGATTGCACAGGACATTCAATAATGCACAGAAAGAGGTAATGTTATAATTATAATAGGAGGATTTGTCTAACTTCTGTACTCAAGTTAAGGGTGCAATAAGTGTATTTTTTTTTATAATTAATTCACATTAAAAATTACAAAATTTGATATATATTTTAGTATCACGGACGTATAAGTAATTTTAATTGCTTAATTGATTAAATAAGAGTCAACATTTATACTTTTAATAAAAATTAATTATGAAAATATGCATTTATTACATCCTTATTTTATACTCTTAAGGCATAAAATAGAAAAATCCATTATAATATTACATAAAATTGTAAATTTACAATCATAATACATTAACAAATAAATGTATAGAATATTATAAGTAAATCCCAAATGAAAAGAATCAAATATATAATAATATATCATAATTATAAACTTACAACACCATGCAGCATTGTAACTACAATTTCAAAAGAAAAGTTCATCCCCACCCTTCAGTAGTGCCCAGAATATACCCCATCAGTTAATGATAATCGATAGCCTCCATTGTGGGCAGAGTTCAGTGTCAGCTGAACTTATCATTTGTCACTCATCTTGTTTTGGTGTCATTTTCAAGAATTTATGCAGCAATAACTACCAGTACACATCAGAGAACTCAACAATATCAAACTTAAAACTGTTCTATAAGCTTGCTTTCATCAAAAGAATTTGCATCCATCTAAAATTAGAACTACTTATCCAGATACAAGGATTGCAAAGAACTTATGAAATCATCGTCAAAGTAATTTATAAAACTCACTGATTCTATGGATAGGGGAATCTAGAAGGGGAAATCTTAAAAAGGAAAACAATATGGAAAGAAACAGACAGATATAAGCAGTTCTAATTATGGGATGATGACTCGTCTCTACTGATAATATGTCATACAAAACAGAAACAAACGCTGGGATACGTTCAATAGGAAGTGAAAGTGAAGATGATAAATGAAATACAAGAAGGATGCAGTCCACCTACACATGGGAAGCGTGACATCATCATGTCTCAACAACAAACCACTAGAGAGCCTGTAGGAGCCGAGTTAGGAATGTTGGCATGCAAATTACAAAGCATTTATCATCCTCTTCATCTCAGCAGACCTTCTGGGATCTGGCTCTTCAATTGCTCTTTCAGTGAGCACTTGCTTGATCCGGCACATGGATTTCCTTACCTGATGCAAATTGGTAATCAAAAAATCAATTAGCAATTCTGATACCATCAACAAAAAGCAAACCCTTTTGACTCACATCCAAAAAGACTTAACTCAAAAACATAGTTGCATGTGAAAGTGGAATTGTCATAATTTCTTGATCAAAAGAAAAAGAAAGTGACCAACAAAAAGAAATAATGTGTTTCAGTTATGATAATTCATCAGCAATGCAATCAATTTAAAATAATCCACTGCCTTGGAACCTTTATGTAAAGGCAGGAGGGCAGAGTAGAAAATCTAAATTATTGCAAGGATTAAAAATAAAAATAAAAAATACCTCTTCAGAGATCACCAAAAAAGGAAAAATAATCCAAATAATCAGTTAACAGCTTGAGAAAATGGGACAACAGACTCTCAGTTGAAAGATAAAACCCTCTTCAAATTCACACTGCACTTCCAAGTTTAACTAAGCATTACAAAGCAACAGCATTGATGAATTTCTCATATTCCCATTATTTCCCATGGTCAGCCTAACCCAAGAAGAAAGTAAATGAGAACAATGTTGGTAACGCTGCAACTAAAGATATTGAAAGTAACAATTACTGAAGAAACCTCTATTGCACTTTAGTTCCTAATTATCAACAGGAAAGCAAAGTCTGATTATAATAGTATCATTTTTACACATTTGTAGCACTTTCATTTTCCAAAGGCAGGGCTTGACACAGTTGAAGATATTAAACTTAACAGTTCACACCATCATGTTTACACATTCATAAGACTTTAATTTCCCATGGTCAGCCCACCCCAAGAAGAAATTAAATGGAAAAATTATTGGCATTACTGCAACTGAAGATATTAAAGTAACTATTACTGAAGAACCATCTTATGCACTTTATGTCCTAATTATGTACTTGGAAAGCAAAGTGTCATTAAAACAGAACTGGCATTATTGCAACTAAAGTTATTAAAGTAACAATTACTGAAGAACCATCCAATGCACTTTATGTCCTAATTACCTACTTGGAAAGCAAAGTGTGATTATAACAGTATAAAGTTATTAAAGTAACAATTACTGAAGAACCATCCAATGCACTTTATGTCCTAATTACCTACTTGGAAAGCAAAGTGTGATTATAACAGTATGGCTTTTACACATCTAAAAGTCTTCCATTGTCCGTTGGATGGGGCAGCAGATGGAGAACTACTGACATCAATAAAGCAGGCGTTCTACTCAAGCAAGCAATTAGTACTACTTAAGTAGAATTTGAAAATGCTGATAAAAAGGTAGAATTTAAAAATTCAACAGTTTGCCTTTGTATTCAGATGCTGCAGCACATAATGTTTAACAAAGACAGAGGTATTGCTTTTTTAGAAGATTTAAAACCTTCTGTCTACAACCATTTAGCAGCATTTAATGCCAAGAAAGAACCTTGGTACATCAGCATTAACCATCATCAGCTCCGTTCTGTGTCTGGAAACAAATTTCTGAAACACATCTGATACATCTTTGATTGTTCCATGGGCAGATTGACAGGGAACAAAGAGAAATGGACTGTTTCACAGAGATATTCCAATCATCCTTTTACCATCATATAATGTCAAATTCCTTGTTTTGATACACTAAAATGTGTCCAAAGATTTTTTAAGTATACCAGCTCATAGTTCCTTTATGTTCTTAGTTATAGGAAACTAAAATGAAAAATCAAACATTTAAGGAAATTAGAATAACAGGCACAATATATGGTGTTGACTGACAGACAAAAGGGCAACTAGTTAACCTTGGGAATACGCTCTGGATTAGGAAAGCGTAGGTTCTCCGCATGAAGCATCTGCCGTTGAGTCATCAGCATGTTTTTTTCTTTCAAAAGAACATACCATAATTTTTGAAGATCATCCCATGCCTTGAGGCGCAGCTCAGATGCTTTCCAACTTCGACCTAACAGCAATAAAATTATTCTATGGTTAAGCCAACTATTGCAGAAGTCAAATATTCAAGAGAAGGAATTGATTTAGGATCAAACCAAAAATAACATAAGATCTCATGGGAACATTTCAAGTCAAACATATGTCAAGGCAAATCTAGTTTACTTGAGATGACATGTATTCTTAACTTCATGAATACAGACTACTTCACCTTTCAAGCTTTTCTACACTCTTAATTGCAGAATCTAGCCTAGCACCTTAAGAAGATATTTTCCCTCTCTTCCCTGCTCAGAAGCCAGAAACACAGTGTTGCTGAAGGCACCGGGCACCTCTAGGTGGCAGGCCTCTGCCTAGAGCCAAGGTGTGTCCAGACTGCCTTGGCAATTTGTGCGCTACCTTTTAAAAAAAAAAAATCTGAAAAATTTAGAAAATTTGGAGAAATTTTTTTAAAAAAAATCATTTAAAAGTCTAAAATCAATTAATCAACAAAACTTAATAGAAGTCTAGAATCAATATAACTGAAATCAGTTAATTAAAGTGAAGGAGAAGAAGAACTAAAGTTGTAGAAAACCCTAAACGATCGGCATTTACGGTTTTTTGCTTTTTGTTGACTTTTGACAACCTA